GTGTGTGTGTGTGTGTGTGTGTGTGTGTGTGTGTGTGTGTGTGTGTGTGTGTGTGTGTGTGTGTGTGTGTGTGTGTGTGTGTGTGTGTGTGTATCATATATGGGAATCAATAAAGGCCATTTTTATTCCAGTGTTTTAACCATACATGGTCAGATGTAGGTCCTCTGATCTTGATGAGGACTCAAACTGATTTTACTGACACCTGAGAGGGGCTTTGATGACTGCATGGTACAGAACCTTTGGGATGATAATCATTTTAAGCAAAAAAAGAAAACTCACTTGCTTCTGTAATATTATGTCAATGTCATGTAACTTCATGTACTAGACATACTGAGATGTACCTTTTGCAGTAAAAAGTGCTCTATAAATGTATTATTTTAGTTTTTGTTTTTTTAGTTTAGCAGAGTTTTTTTAAAAGGCTGCTGCTTTCCTTTAACTCAACTATATTAATATGAAAATAAATATAAATCCATTATCAAATGAATGACATCTGCCTGTGTGTGTCTTTCTACATATATAGATACAGGATTCATGGCGTCTATCAGTCACTACAGCATTGGTTTTGTTTCTTTCTATATTTGAATATTTCTTTTGATTTTGACTTTGAGTCGACAATGGGAGTTAACGTATCATTGTAATTCATTTTCAAGTTAGCAGAGTTTTTTAAAAGTCTGCTGCTTTCCTTTTACATACCTTCATCTCATTACTCCTGCCATACCTGCTGCTGTGATGCAAGAACATCTAAAATAGCACTGGATGATTCCAACAACTTGGTTTTGATTGAGGACGCAGCCTGGAAGTGTTCGCTGATTACATAAACCCCATTACTTCTCTTACCTATGAGACTTTTTTTGTATTCCAGTGTCATACCATTAATAACCTCTATTCACAAATCAAACTTACAGCCGCTCAGCAGAGAGGATACTGTAAACACAAAAGCCTGTGTTGCAGGTTTTCTCAGTGTTTTGCAATACCTGCTCACAACTTTGGAGCAGAGCTGCTGCATCAAGAGCGGAGGTGCTGCAAACTCCCTCGAGGATTTACTGTTACAGTAGAAGTGCTTTTGAGGTTCAAGCACAATAACAGGTGGGGCCTTTACGGCTGTAGTTTTAGCTGCCACATGCACATATAAACAAAGACACATGCACAGACCAGTCGAGAATGTCCCTCATCATTCTCTTTTTATGGTGTAAAAACAAACAAAAGCTACCTTTCTAAAGCAGGATTACACATTTAGCCGTGTTTCTGTCAAAAACATCACTGTAAGTCTGTGCAAAGCCTGTAAGTTCACCCCAGTCCAATCTACTTCATCCACACAGCCGGTATTCATTCTAAGAGCTGGAGAAAAAAAGTGAGCGCATGCCGTAACTGGCGTCTGCTGAAGACTCCCTGTTTCTAGGAAGGGAAGAATGAGGAGGTTTTGGCTGGATATCTGTTGTCTCGAGTAAACTCTTGGTTTCTAGGAACGGCTGCAGAAAAGAGAAAGTCCTTGGGTTTCCGTGGGTCCGTGGGCAGGCGTTTTTTTTAACATCTCATTTCAGGACGACTCAGAATCTGTTTAGTCCAACAATCTACACAGGATTTAATGGCTCCATTATATGCTGCTGAGTTGTAAAACTACATGAAAGCAGACAGAGGTGTAATTCTGGAAAACCACTAAAACAATGTTCCCTTCTCGGTCAGCGGGAGCCGTTACATGTACACAGACATTGAAGGGAATATTTGTTGCCTTACAGTCACTGAATTATCCCTTAAAATACTACTTTTGATGCACAAAATGAATTTCAGAGTGTTCGCCACCTCTTTCCTGATGTCAGCAGGAATTGGGTCCCGCTACTCTTGCAACTCTCAAAGGATAAGTGGTGTAGAAAATGGATGGATGATTCAAATCTGGAACTCTATCTTTTTCCACATCAAATTTCACCTGCTCAAATTGGGTGCACATTTTGCATCGACAGAAAAAAAAGAAAATAAGTTCTTGGATCCAGCTCCTTTATCGATTCCGCTCCAAAATGTTATAGGTTATATCTTCACCACGCCCTTCAGCCGACTTTCAGGAAAATTGGCTCTGTAGTTTTTTACATAATCCTGCTAATAGACAGATGAAGAGCAATAAAAACCTCCTTGCAGAAAGAAAAAAAACACAAAATGTAGGTTCTTACTTCTTTAGATTCTCATACATGTTGTTCTGAAGGGGCTGACAGTTGATGCTGGTTTGTTTATCCATCATGTTACTCGTTCTATTAGATCGGAGATGGATAATAAAACATTCTTGTCTCAGGGAATGAATGGCACCACTCCATGGTGCTGTCAACAGTTAGTGATTGTAGGAGGCCACAGCTCTGAATACAGTATGATCAAGTGAGACACATGTTGGTTGAGGGAGCGACGATTAAAGCTGATTTCATATTTTTAGTCCAAAACAAACATTTTACACTAAAAGAAATGTGATGCCCAAAGGACCAAACACCAACCTCAGCACCTTTCCCCCTGTGTGACACCATTTGCGTAAGTGGGACAAAGGTTTGCAGGTCTCACATTGTTTGGTGTACTGCTCACACACACTTAACGTAATGAAATTCCTGCCGTTGAGGTGATAATTATTCTGAGGGATTATGAGCTGCAGCAGTGTGTTTAATCCCTGTTGACAGGTACTTTTCCCCGCAGGACACACTCTGTGTTTAAATGTGTTTGAAAAAGAGAGACACACTCTGTGGTTTTATTGTGTCCATCTGTGTGTTTGTTGTGCACTGTTGGCATTCTAACGTGTGAGAAACACATTCCACAGATTTTCTGATAATAATTCTTGGGTCCTAGGGGACAGGTATTTGTGTGAGTGTGAGCAATTTGGTGTGGATCCAAATAAAAATCTGGATCGAGTGATATTAACTGTGTTTGGGGGGAATAGGTCTTTTTCTTCTGCTGTAAGATACAAGTAGTGCTAAAAACCTGTAACTACCACTAATGTGTATTTGACTGAGGAACAGCTTCTATCCATGGGCTGTCAGAACACTGAACACTGTTTCTGTCGATCTCGTTCCCTTCTCCCCTGTCCACCCCCCCCACCTCCCCTTTTTCCTTTGCAGTATCTGTCTTTAAGTCAACAGCAGCACCTTCCTGTGTCACCTCAGCTCATAAAGGCCCATTCAACCTTATAATTGAAAAAACCTTCATTTTAATTTCAAACCGCACACGGCTGTTGTGTCCTCTGCTTTCATCTTCACCTGCAACTGCACACTCGCATCAGTCAAAGCCTCTTTTTGAGAAGAAGCAAGAAATAACACAGCCGATGAAACGTTCAGTTCCCGGGTAATGAAACACAGCCTCGCTCAAATCATCACACTCTGAGGATTTTGCTGATCCAGCTTCATTTGTTCAGGTTTGAGAAGTAGCTAATGGTGGAATGTCGAAATGAAAACTTGTTACGTGGGAAAGAAAAGAACTGATAGAAATGGCGTTGCTACTTCTGGACACAGCTCTTGGCGAGTAAAGGAAGCTTAAGGCTGATGTTAGTTTCTCTCTTTTCTGATAAGCCCTGAAATAATCTGGTGGGGGCTGTATTCTTTGGGGGTCCCCTGATTTAGAGAGCAGTCCTCACAATGGAGCCTCAGTGCCTTGGTTTGGAATATGTGTGACCGTAAACAGCAAACAGAAACACAGCAGAATGTTTTTGTTGGGCAAACACACGTAAATAGACCGAACCTGGTCGCAGTGGTCGGCCATTCAAATAAATCTGTGCATGAGGACGTGATAAAATAACCTTTGCTTGGTTTTCACTGTGGTGGTTCATTTGGTTTTCTACCATTTTTACAGCCCTGATTTGACACAGGGGGAGAATAGAGAGAGAAAGAGAAAGAGAGACATGCTGAAAGAGTGCAAAGTGAGAGAGAGTGGGGGAGGCCAAGACGGGGGGTGAATGAGTTGTTTGTTTGTCCGTCCGCTGTCCTCTCCGGCCTTTGCCTGGTGCTCGGTGCCTGGCATCCAGTGTAATTTCCTCTTCATCACGACCACTGCGGTCCGCACCATTAGCATTTTTACTGCAGCAGGGGCAACACTTGGTGGGAGTGTGTGTGTGGGTCGCTTCAGGTCTTATTATGCAGGGAATGGGGAAGACAGAGCGAGGGGAGCAGGGCCGAGACATCGACCTGACATCGCTGAGATCCACCATGCCGGCTGGCGGCCCTCTGCAGGTTAGTGCACCCGAGAAAGACTGTGTGAGAAAAAGAGGGGAGGCAAAGTAAACGACAAAAGATACAAAGAGAAAAAAAGAACAGTGAAGTTGCTCTGTGCTGCATCTCCCATTCTTCTCTCTTCCTTTCTGTGTCCCCCTCTTCCTCTGTCCCCCCACTCTTTCATCTCCTTTTTGGTTGATGTGTGAATTGCAGCTCCTGTCTTAGCTTTGCCACAGAGCCGTGGTATCTCCTGCCTACGTGTGAGCCGAGGATCAGAGGGTTGGTGCGTGGCTCTCGGGGTTAGGGCAGAGCGTCTGGACTCTATTCTGAGACCCAGATATGATCTCGACATCCATCAAATATCAATTAGTGGCTGGGTGCGAAGGCTAATAAAGACAATTTAGCCGTGGGTCAACAGAGCAGGTACTCACTAATGCCAAGAAGAGAGGTCAAGGAGGGCTGAAAACATGGTGTGTTGTTTTGGAGAAGACGCTTTTATGGACACTTTTTTTTCCTTTTATCGTTGGTCAGAGCAGTAAAATGAAAGAAAGGAATTTTTTTTTTTTTTTGTATTATTATTTTTCATTTCATTTTGTTTTGAGTTTGGTTTGGCATCGTTCAAGACAGTTTGGCACTTGTTTCTTTATTCAACTAATCTTCTGAGTCATCACACACACATACACACACAGAGCTTGTCTTGTGTAATAGCACTTTGTTCACTTGAGACTGTGCAGCTAAATATACCAGTAACTGATAGCCCCGCTGGTTGATTGGCAGGGACAACAAATAACAAGGACCGTGTGTGTGTGTGTGTGTGTGTGTGTGTGTGTGTACTCCTCTTTGTTACCTTTGTAGGATATTTTCCAACACATATCTTGTCAGGACCAATAGTTTTCATTGAACCCAAAGCCCTCGTCATCATGAAGCTAAACACAATATATGAACTAAGGTTAAGATGTGAATTGTGGTTAGGTTAAGGTTAGGTTAAGGTTAGGTTAAAGTTAGGTTAAGGTTAGGTTAAGGTTAGGTTAANGTTAAGGTTAGGTTAAAGTTAGGTTAAGGTTAGGTTAAGGTTAGGTTAAGGTTAGGTTAAGGTTAGGTTAGGTTAAAGTTAGGTTAAGGTTAGGTAAAGGTTAGGTTAAGGTTACGTTAAAGTTAGGTTAAGGTTAGGGTTCGGCAAGAAATGGTCATGGTTTGAAATCAGGGTTTGGTTTGGCTGTCCACTGTGAATCGATTTCAATACATTGTCTGAATAAGGATAGGTACACAAACCAGAGTGTGTGTGTGTGTGTAGTCAGTGTTAATAACCACGTATATTTATATAAGTATTTTAGTTCCAAACTAAACATGGTCATGTGTAGTCCCTGGTGATAGTGGTCAGGATTTAGGGTTTGATTCCTGGCCAGGGAAACTTATGTAACCTTTTGATTAGCCTTTTTAATCAACCTTTTGAAATTAGTTTTTATGATTCTGTGCTAGATATACCTGTACAGATGTGAACATGCTTAACTCATATGAAAAGGTAATAACTGGTGAGTGTAGCTTTCCATCAGAGATGAGGGGAAAAAGAACTCACGTTGATCAGAGAACATGAAAACAAGTGAAAGAAATAGAGTCAAATGAATTCACATTGATGCTGACATCATGTTTCTGATTTGATTTGAGAGGTTTGGGTATTAAGGACCAATGCCTGTGTCATAACATGTGATTTCCACGACAGAGTTTATATGTCATGTCCTGGCGCCCCCCCCCGCCTGGACATTTTCCTGTTGTTGTGAATGCATCTGACCGCTGTGTTGTTCATATGTGAAAGACAAAGTCTGGAGAACGTCTCCACCTAATAGTTTGGACATTTCCCAGAGTTCAAAGTGTCTCATTCTACCTGCTCATAAGATCAGAGCTGAGAGGAGGTCAGCTCTCAGTGTGGTTGGGAATATTTATGCACAGTTGTTCTGTAAAAATCTTATGTGAGCAGGATGCCAGTTTTAGTGGAAGTTATGAATTCATGTTGCAAAGAAAATATGGTTGTTTACCTTCCTGGTGACCATCTCCAAATATACCAGTCATGAACGCTTGCTCTGTTCATTTGTTAACACACGCACATTTTCACGAGTCACGGTGTATACAGTGAAGAGTATAAATGTCTCCAGACTTTATGTTAATGCCAGTCCAGTGCAAACTGTGATCACTGCGACCACAGTCAGTTCGGCCTGGTTTGTATTTCCACAGCGAGAATTACACTGACTAACATAACTAACATGACTGTGAGCGTGTGGCGATAGAGGATTGCCACGTCTTCCGGCCACACGCCCTCAAGGACAGATGACCTAACTTTGGCGGTAACGATCACATTGTGTGCCAAGACCAAACCGCAACTATTCGTTTCAATCCTGGACAACTAATCACAAGTTGACAGATGAGTGGAGGGAAATATGTGACCCTCAGAAAAGGAGAAATGAGAAATGTATGCATGCGTGCATGTTTTTAAGAAATAACTCTCAGCACGATACACATCCAGAATTACGAAATCATGCATCTTATATGTTTTTGCCATTTTCACAGATTTAATTATCTCAGATTTAATTATCTCAGATTTAATTAAAGAGATTAATGAGAATAATGTTCTGCTTTGGTATTTCAGGCATGCAGCTACTTCCATGTGGTTTTCCTCACAATCTAAAAACAGTATTGAACAAAAATCACTGGTTATTTACAACCACTGTCGATACAGCTCATTCATATATTTTTATTCCACAATTTCTTTTTCTAAAAAAATACCTCAGACCATCTTCATTGATCTTGGCGGCCTTTTGTGTCCTCTCCAGAAAAACCCTTTTAGAATAGGAGCTGTTACTGAGTAAATCCCGGAATGTGAATCGTGTAACGGTGAGACAGCACTTGAACGCCTCATGCGTTTCCAGTCGGCCTCGGTGACCCTTTCATTTGCTTTGACATGGTTTTACAAATAGTTCTTCGGTCAGTTTGTGACAGTTGTGGAGGATATGAGTAGGTTTCCTGCATCACACATAGAAACAACTTCATTTGCCATCATCACAAAAATGATGATGCTCCAGTTTGAATGAAAAATATCTTTAACCTTGCACAAATAACCAGAAAGAGAGAATCTTATTTCTTCTCTTGTCAGAGGATGCAATGTGTATTTATTTTTTGGGTTTTAAGGTCTGAGAGGACGATTGCGCATCGTTCAAAGTCGTCTGAGACTGATACTTGACCTTGGGATCCCCTTAATGTGCCCAACAGTCCTGCATAGAAACATACTATTCAGATCATACTGGCAGGTCACGAAGCACCAAAAGGAAAGTTGAGATGATCACAGCAAAGCAACAAGAAGCATGACAGCTACATTTCACAGATGTGTAAAGTCGTATCTTGCATGTGAACAAGCCTGAACTGGCCATCGAGTGCGTTCGGCAGATGCCAGGAAGGCAGGGCAGGTCATTCACTATGATATATCAACAATAATAATAGCAATGCTAATATCAAAATAATACTGTGGGTCAATATGCGTGGTAGCTATGGCAACAGCTGTGTTTGTCTGTATTCTCAGGTGTTGCTCCTCCTGCATCAAGCTGCTTAAGAGAATCGTCTTTCTTTAATCCATGTGTTTTAATGTCCCTCTCTGGCCACCGTCCCTCTCGACTTCTCGACTCCTTCCCACTTCTCTCACCTCCCAAAATACATTTACTGCCTCTCTTGGACATTACATGTTTATATGTGCGTGTGTGTGTGTGTAACCCTGTCCTGGCCCCTACATGGCAAATGCCACATTCTGAGTGTGGGTGTGAAGTACGAGAAAGTGTGTGTGTGTGTGTGTGTGTGTNAGTGTGTGTGTGTGTGCGTGTGTGTGTGTGATTCCGGGAACATTCATCCGAAACTCAACTGAGTCTCATCTTTAAATGTCTTGTTGTTGCATAATAGTTGTGCAACATAAAATCTGCTTTGTATATTCACTGTGTTGTACAATGCAATGTGGGTTTTTTTACGCTCTGACATGGAACCAAATGAATAATCAATATCAGAGTGATAATATCTGTCATTGTACTCAAAAAGCGATGACGGATTGTTGCGTGAACACATGAGAATGTGAATGGAGCAATCGGATGCCAAAGTGCCTACGAAGCATCACGGTTTCATTCACACCAGCGTTTAGAGCAACATCCTGCACGCACACACACGTCCACACATCAGGAAGGTTAGTCAGCGGTGAGAACAAGGAAGGAGGATGAGGCAAGTGCTTCCTTTTGGATGTGACTCAGGAGGTTAGAGAGGGTGGTCCACGGTCCAAGAGGTCTGTGGTTCGGTCCCCGGCTCTTCCAGCCTGCTTTCTGAAGTGTGAAGTGCTACATACTGAACCCCGGAGCCCCTGACGGTTGTGCAAGAATTGTTTATTGATAGATAAAGTGTTGCATATAGAAGTGCTCTGGGGTGACTGGGTGAATGCGTCATGTACTGTAAAGATCTTTGAGTGGTTGTTAAGACTAAAACAGCTTTTTGTATACAGTCTAATCATTTAATTTATATGTCCGGGTATTTAACCTTTTACCTTTTTTACCCACAAGCCCGCTCCTCCTGTGTGAGCTCATGTCCAGACAAATAAATACAAAACATGGATAGCAGTATAATCAGAAAAATTCAGCCTTTAAACAGGTATATTAATACAACTGTATGGGAACATTTGTGGTTGAATTTCCTATACTTACATACTTAACTGCTGCAACAGTTGTTTGTTCGACACACAATGGAAAGATGTTTTTCTTATTCACATTAAAAACATAAAAAAATAAATAAAAACATGTCCCTGTTATCGGAAACGTGTCTGAGCCGGACAAACTCGTTTGTCGTTCTTCATTCATTTACAATATAAAGATAGAGATCCATATTTTCAGTTGTTATATTCCATTTATTTATTAGATTACACATTTTGATCCTGAGTTTACATTAGATATGTTCTGCCTTCTCTCCCACTGTCTTTGTTTGTTTTACCAGTTACTCCAGCT